CCCAGCCATCCATCTCTGGCTTCTCCATTACCTTCTTTCATCTTCAGTTTAGTCTTTCACAGCCTGAACACCCTCATGCAGTTTCTTGCTAGCAGATTCCTTGTTATTGCAAAATATTGCTCTGCTGCTGTTGCTTGAGGGGGGGGGCAGTGTGGCTTGTCCATGGTGTTCAAAGGATTTGGCTTGTGGATGTGTCAGCCTGTCAGGTTGGGTATTCAAGAAACTCACGGAGTGGAGGAACACCTGTGTGAGCCTGGAGTGTGGCCCCATTTTTGATTACAGATAGTTTCCTGAGATGTCTGAGTAGTCTTAAGATGCTCAGGAGGCACCTAGTGGTATTTTCTCTGTAGGAGGAGTTTGAACACAAGGCTGTGTTTCCTGGAAGAGCCTGAAATAAGAATCTGTCATTACCTGGCAAATGCATCAGTTTGCTTGTGCAAGACCTCATTTTCTTCCTATACCATTAAGTCCAAGCAAGTACTGAAAGGCTGCCCTGGCAGACATGGAAGGGCTTCCAAGAGGAGCTTGTGGTAACAGAGGTGGGAGGAACACTGCGGCTAAAGGATTTGTGCTATAAATGTGATCATCTGTCTCACTTTTATCAGGAAGGTGAAGGGGATACAGTACTACTCACGTTGGCTGTGGGAATTGCATCTTTCCTTCCTGCTTTATGTAGAGAGCTGCTGGGATGTCAGCAGTCTGACAGCAGGTCCCTGCAACCTGTCAAATCAGCGTGCTGACCGTCTCGTGCTGTTGGGAGCAATTTTCAAATGAATGTGGCTCAAAGGGATGAAGAGAAGCCATAAATATTCTTTCTTCCTGCTGGTATGCGGGAAGTTCCCAAGCATGGCTGAAACGTAGCTGTGGACTGAGTTAGGCTGCAGCTGGTACCGGGGTGTGGCACTACTGCCCATCCTTGCAACAGGACTTCTGGAGAGCTTGAATCGATCCTGCTTCCCTTCCAGGGCCCCCCCCCCCAGCGTTGTTTCTTTTGGGTGGGCTTCTGTGCTGATGCAGAGCCTGAGCAACGTGAGTGAGGCTGCGCAGTGCCCCGGAGGTTTGTCAGCTGGCAGAGTGACAAACACCAGAGCCCCTTCTGTGGCCCTCGGCAGAGCATCTATACACGTACCCTGCAGGACATTCTGCCACACACCGGGCTAGTCTTGTGTTTGTCACACGTGAGGGTGTAGTAGCTGCCCAGCGTATGTGATAGCTCTCTGGTATCAGTAGTGGCTGGCAGCGTTAATGCCAGTGCTGTGCTTGAGGCAGATCCAGTCTGTTGCGCAGGGTTTTTAATGAAGCGCTAAGCCCACCTGCTTACAAGTCCGGTTTGTAAGAAATGGTTTATGTGGATTTGCAAGTCCTGAGCTGTCTCAGTCCTGGAGATAATGTGCTTAAGCCCATATATTTATAGACTTACTGTACTTGCCAGAAGAGGTTAACCTTGTCAGGGGAAGGAAATTTTTTTTATTTTTGTTTGTTTGTTTTGGTAAGGAGCCTGTGGCATCCCCAGGTCCTCCACAAAGCTGGTTATTGAACAGATCTGATCTGAATCCTGAAATGGTAGTTTGTACTTGAACACCCATCCAACGTCCTCCAGTGCTGGCTTTGCTCTGGAGGGCGTTGGCTCTTAGTTTGCATTTCAGTGATGCCTTTCCTGCCTGCAATGTACACTTTACATGCGTGGCTCTATAAAGGTCCTGAGGATTAGGGAGGCTTAAATGAATAGCATCCAAAGGGGTAGCGTGCCCTGCTGGTATCTTCCAGCTTCTCTTCCTAGTTTCAGACTAGCCCCACTGACTCGCAAGCTTCTGGGCCCCAAATGAGCAAGCCCCAGGGAGCTGTTTGCTGTTGCTAGGCCTTGTTGATCCATTAGTCATCTCGAAAGAAAACCAATTAGGAAAACAGAGTGCTACTCTCTTTGGTGGCTTATCTACCAAAACCGGGACAGAAGATAAATGGCTGCAGTCCCCGCAGCACTCCTGTCTTGTGCCTAGTCCTCTCTTCCTAACGTCCCTTTCGATTTTCTTTTCCTTCAGCCTCTGTCTGTCAAATTGATGCATTTCCCTGCCTGGCATCCTACAGTCCGTGTAAATTTCAGCTGGTTTGAAGAGAGTTCATGACTTGCTCTGGGAACCCCTTCCCAGTCCGAAGTGCCTTCAGCCGGAGACAGGCTTTGCCTCTGTTTTTCTTTCCCTGGTAGAGTTCAGGGAGGAGGTCCAGCCCACTCGTGTGAGCGGGTGTGCGCTTGTGTGACTTCCAAATCCGTGCTAGAAGCCTGAGGCTGCACACGCGGTCCCTTCTGCTATGCTTTGGCCGTTAGGGCTTTGCAGGCTTGTGTGCAGGTGGAACAGGAACCTGTGAGTCTGCCATGGGGTTGGAAGCACAGCGGTGGTCCTGGGTGAGGTTGGATACTGGCTGCTGAGACAGTCCCTTGTGTCAACCACTCAGTTGGAAGCCCCATCCAGCCCAGGGGTTTTGAGAGTAACCCTGTTGTTGACGTGTCTGAAAAATTAAACTATCGGGGATTTTTATAATTGAATAAAGAATTTGAATAAAAGAATCCGGAGATATTTTTTTGCGGGGGGAAAGGTAATGTCTATTTTCTTCCATCTCTCTGCAGGACATTGCCCGCCTCCTACAACAGAAAGAACTGCAGGAAGAAAAAAAGCGCAAGAAGCACTACCCAGAATCCCAGGGACACACAGTCTATGAAGATAGCTATTATGCAGAAAATGGAGGTACGTTTCTGCTAGATAAAGGATCAAGATCGTGGCAGTATAGGTGAACCTGGTGATCTGGCAACTCCATTTAGGAGATTTCCCTTATTCTACAGTCCTGCATTCAGCACTGTAGCATTGGATCAGTTTCCAGGGTCAGGATCAGACTTTATTCTGGAATCAGGAAATATTAAAAAAAAAAAAGTGGGGAAGACACACTTAATTTTTGATGTCCTATAAGATGGCTGAAAGGACAGGGGTAGGGTGTGTGGTGTGTGTATGCACAAGCACACCCATGCATGCATGTTTTCAAAGGGCTTGTGGAAAAAGGCAGTAGCTGGTGGTACTGATAAGCCACAGTTACTTCTGTGTAACACCACAAGCGTGCGGGGGAGAAATTCGGATGCAATTCCGTGGTTGCATTCAAAGAGAAGCAGTTCTGCGTGCTCATCTGTGATGCTGGCACAGCTACGTGTGTAAAGGAATAAATACTGGTTCATGGAACAGCCTTTCAAAAATAACTCCTTGCAGGTATGTATCCAAGCATTAAAATTAGCACTACTGCTTTGAATGACTTACTGAATAACAAGGTCATCTCCACAGAATGTCTCTGCTGTGATTATCATCTGGGACTGTACGTTGTGGAAAAGATATGACCCGTAGCGCTGTATTGCTTTCTCTTGGTTGGCTTTTATGATTGAATACAGACCTTTAATTTGGGAGGAGAGAATCAGGGTGTGTTTAATTATGGAGCAATCTGGGGATGGCTTTGCTGTGCACTGGTGGTGGTTCTTGTGTTCTTTCTTCAAAAAAAAAAATGTGGGGAAGAGACGGGCTGCTTTTGATTAACAGATTGTGAAGATGAAGATCAAACCTCTTATTTCTCATTTTAACATCAATGCTATTGGCAATTTTAAGTGTATTTTATTTGAACTTACACAAAGTATTTTAGTTTTAATTGGGAAGAAGTTCAAGGATGGCCAAGAAAACACAAAGCACAAAGTGCAAAGCAGTAACCAAGTGGAAACTTCATGACCACAAGTCCAGCTACGTGTACAGAGCTGGGAAAGGCTTTGATCTTGGAGCCTTATGGACAACCCACACTTCAATTTTTCAGAATTAAATGGGACAAGTCCCTGAAAAAATACAATATAGGTAATAGTGTTGCCATGCAGAGATGGTGGGACAGGATGGATTTTTATAACAGAAATCAGCTGACAAAAGCCTGTGACTCTCTGAACTGATACTGTCGTGTGGATTTGGAGAGCAGGATATCTTGTGGGTCTAATTTTTCTTCCTGCAATAATCTGTAGTCTCGGAGGTGAGGTAGAAGGTGTTTTGCCTGACCATTCATAGTAGTGCTGCTCTTGATCCTTGCTCCTTAAAAACTAGAAAGGACTGGAGTGGATTTTGATGCCTGGATCATCTAGTCCATTGATCTGGAACCTCTTAAATACTTGGGTACTATTTGATTAGGCTTCAGCATCCTCAGTTTGTATCACCTTCATTACTTGTGAACTTAAAAGCCCTGGCTTTGTTTGGGTTTTAGTCTGTCTTGAGACTGAAAATTTATCTACATCCAGGAGGAGTGTGGATTAGGACTATTACTCCAGAGCAATCTAAGCTCTTAAAAAGTGGAAAAATAAACGTGAAAAAAGGCAGAGTTCCTCCCAGAACTGTCTGTGCCATGAAAAACATTTCTGTATTCGCTCAGTCACTAGCTCCTTGAGAGAGTAACGCCAGGACCTAAAGAGTGTTTACACGGCCCCTGTGGAAGGTGCCGCAGGAACCGGTGCCTGCTGAGGAGTTAATTGCCCTGAGATACCCCAAAAGCAAACCCTCTGCTCAGGCTGTCTGGCATGGCTGCATTACCTGCAGCGATCCTTTCCCAGCACGGCCATGCTTTGCTATTTCATGATCTCCTGCTCTCTGCTGCTGTATTTATTGAGCTTTCCTTAATGACAAAATTGAATTAATTCTTAGACCCTTGTTAGTATTGTTCAAAAACTGACTTGCTTTCAGGCTCTGGTCTCCGTTGTTCAGTAAGTCGCTTAGACTGTTTTATTGGATATTTGTTTTCTGTAAGTTGTGTGAATGATCTAAAACTTAACAGAAAAACCTACCAGTTAGCAGGAACTGCTCTGGTTACTCTTACAGTTCTTGGATTTTTAAAAATATACCTGTTCTGGATAAAAGTAACACAGAATTGTTTTCAAGGTGGGTTTTCTGTAGGGTATATTTTTGCTGGCTCTGAAAAAGTTTTTTCTGAACAGAATGACTTGAAGGGAACATTCAGTTTTGGTGGGGGTTTTTTCCTGAAATCTGGATGACTGTAAGGAAGGCAGAGCTATTTATTAAAACAGAATGCAGTTCATGTGCAGTGAAATCTATTTTAAATAGTTTTTAGCTACTATAAAAAAAACGTTCAGCAGTGGAGAAGGAAAGTCTTACGCGGCTGGTTTTTTTGTTTGGTTTTTTGTATAGTTCTGTTTCAAATCAGCCTCTGCTTCAAGGAAACTTTTTTCTTCAGAAATACGCCTTCATTCTGAAAAGCTGCTGTGGAGATAATAGTTCACTAAGTGCAATGATTTTTTCTTAGCAAATAAGTTGATTGGAAAATAAATTGATCAGTAGATTATATACAGGTAGACTGCTGCATCCTCATAGCTGTGTCAGGTTTATTACTGAAACTAAAAGCGAAGAAAATTTCCACCTGCTTTCTGGAAAGCACGGAGGAAACAACCCCACCAAGCTGCTGAGTAAGTGGCTTTTCCAGCTACATTGCTGAGGTCAGGAGCCTGGGTTTGCTGGGTTTTTTGTGAAGTCTTATCCTGCCCTTAAATTTCAGTAGCCCTCTCTGCAGTCAAAGCCTAAATTTTTATTTAGGCAACGAAGAAGTGCAGGCCCTGAAACTTCTGGGTCTGCAAGAGATATGTGACAGTCTGTGGTGGAAGATATTTGGATGCTGCAGCTATCCTTCATCTTGTTCTTGCTTTTTAAAAAAAAAAAAAAAAAAATCCCATCCCACTTGCCTCTTTCTCTTCTGCTTTGTGCGGGTCTTCCCCCAGTTAGGTGAGGCTGTTTTTTCTGATGGAAAAACCTTGTGCCTGAAGCCAGGGCAAGGCACTGGTGCTCAAAAACCAGGATCCAACCTGACCCTCTGCTTGGCCCCTCCTGGCCTTATGCTGCCCCCCCACCTCACTGCCTCCCAGCCTCACCTGCATCTTGCGCCCTCCGTGCAACTTTCCTTTTTCTTTTTCTTGCTTTTTAAAAAAAAAAAAAAAAAAAAAATCCCATCCCACTTGCCTCTTTCTCTTCTGCTTTGTGCGGGTCTTCCCCCAGTTAGGTGAGGCTGTTTTTTCTGATGGAAAAACCTTGTGCCTGAAGCCAGGGCAAGGCACTGGTGCTCAAAAACCAGGATCCAACCTGACCCTCTGCTTGGCCCCTCCTGGCCTTATGCTGCCCCCCCACCTCACTGCCTCCCAGCCTCACCTGCATCTTGCGCCCTCCTTTGCAAACCTTTCTGTGGTGGTTTCAGTATCCTGCAGCAGTGATGTGTCATCACCAGGAGATGAGCTGCTCTGCTGGCTGTTTTTCAGCCCCAATGGCATCATTAAAAGTCCTTCATCTCCATACTGGCTTGTCCTTGTCTTAGGAGGTGCTTCGACACACTTTTGGGCTGGTCCTGTGCTTTCTGCTCCAACCCCCTTGGCTCCCATGCTGCCCTGATGCTCGCCAGGCTGCCATTTCACTGTCCCCTGTTATATCCTGCAAGTGTTATATTCCCGTTATTCTTCTTTCTGATCCCGTCATGCTTTGCCTGCATTTCCAGCTTCTCCTTGCATCAAGCTCCCTCATCTGCATGCTGTGAGTCTGGCCTCGCTGAACCACCGTTAACCCCCGCACCACTAACCCGCTCGTTGTTTGTCCCCCCTGTTGCTCAGAGCACCGCTGGGGTGACCCCAGAGAGCAGGTTTCTGAGCCTCACAGGGCACGCAGTGGTGACAGGCGCACGCACCGAAAGAGAGAGCACCGAGAAGCGCCCTCACCTTTGTCCAGCGGTGCCTCCGAACACAGGCATTCCACCGTGGAGGATCATCGGAGGTCTCCTCAACTGAGTGAGGCCAGCAGTGACCATCGGCAGGAGTGGAAATCAGCCAGCCAGGGAAGGTCCAGGAGACATCCCAGCCTTGACCTGGAAAGAGAGGCTGAGCACGGTGTCTGTGATCACAGCAATAGCTCGGAACTGCGGGAGAGGAGAGCAGCTGGCAGGGAGAAGGCTTGGAGACCTCTCAGTCTTAGCCTGGAGTCAGAGCATGGACTCGCAGACCAGGCGCAGCGCAGCAGAAAGCCAACAAAGCAGGACAGAGAAAAGCACCTTCCTTTTCTTGAGATGGAACTGGAGGCTGAGCAGGACACCTGGCATCAGGGCAGCAGCCTGCTGGTGCGCCCTCAAAAACACAAATCTCGTCATCAGGGCCACTCGTCACACAGGATGGTGCATGACGAGAAGTTCTGTGATGCCAAATCTAGAGACGATCATAGGAGGGGTGGGGAGAAAGACTGCAAAATGGCAGGACGCAGGCAACACTCCCCCTCCCCACATGCTGTGACCCAGGGGAAGGCTGGAGACTGCCGGCGAGACTCAGGTAACAAAGTGATGGGGAAGGTGTGCGTATGTGTGGGGATGGACCTTGGCGCACCCCATCCTGGTGTCTGAAATCTGTGTTGTTTCCTTTGAAGAGGCTTATCTCCACTGTCCACCTGCAATGTGTACATGCTGAATCCTGCCCAGGTTTCTCCCTTATTTAGTGAGATTCTTCTTACCCATTAATGTTCTTGCTCTGTTTATTTCCTGACATGTTCCATGGTATCAGAGAAGATGAGTAAGAAGGTATCGTTGGAAATGGTGCCCTTGGTATCCTGTATTTAAGAAAAAAACCCACAAAAAACCACCAAAAAACAACCAACCAACAACCAGCTTTTGTTTTCATAATGTATTTTGTGCTGTGGTCTCCTTGCACAGGAAAAAAAAAAGAAAGAAAAAACTTAGAAAAAACCAAATGTTATGATTACACTTGTATTTTGTTGATTTGGGATGCAGGGCTGTAAGTGAAGACAGTTTGCTTAAGCACTAACAAGCCAGCCATTTCCATCCACTTCTTATTGAAAACCCTGCTGGCAGCATAATCAATTAACTTCGGGCAAAGTTCAGTAGTGGCACTAGGTGTCTGAGTGGGCTCTGTTTGTAAGATGGGGTTCTTGTCAAATTCTGTGCAAGTGGATTTTTCTGGGAAACGTGTACCTGCGTAGTTCTTGTTCAATAATACTTGGGGACTGGTGGGCTTTAAAGATCCAGATCCATCTTTCTGCTTTTAAAACCCCGCTGGGGGTGGGGGTGACCTGTCTCTTAGCGAAAGTAGGAGTTTAGAGTCTTGGATCTATGTCTGTCACAGCATGGGAAACTTGTGCTTTAAGCCATCTATCTGGTCGTCACTTGGATAAGGTGGGGATGATAATGCGTGTCTGTCTCTGGAGACGCTGGGAAAATTATTCTTTGTCTTCATCATGCAAAAGTTTTCTTTGGGGAAGTGGAAGGTGTTAATCAGGTCTTTATATATCATCAGTAGGTTGTGATTTGCCCCGATACAATGTGGGTCCAAGTGACTCAGGATCCCACCACATTGAGTGAAAATAGCCAGAAGCTCACATCCTCTTCCTGTGGGCTGTGGTCGTGGTGGGCTTCGTGCTCCCCTGAGTATGGGTGGAAGTAATGTTTACTGTTGTCTTCTGAGCAAATGAAGCCTGGCACCGATCAGTGTGTGAATAAAGCTCAGCCTCGGACTGGCCAGCAAACAATTCCTGGAAACTTACTTTTATTCTTCATAGAGGTAATGCTGTACAGGAGCCTGTTGGCCACACTGTTGTTCATTCTAGCATGGTTAAACTGTGTTTACCTTGACCTTGGAAGCACTGTGAATAACTTAACTCTGACCAAGCTGGTGCTTTTTGCCGGAGTTTCTGTGCAGGCCAGAGATTGCAGCTCTTCACAGCTTGGATTGATCAAAGTGTGCTGGGAAAGGCCATGTCATATGCTTAACCATAACATGCCAGAGCTGAAGTTTTCTTCTTATGCTAAGATGGTTTGTAAGAGGGGTGTTAATTCCTTAAGATCATTGATCAGTTGATTCAAAACAAAAAGCAGAAAACCCCACACGCCTCCTTTAATACCAGTAGAAGAGGTGGTTTCCTATTCCACGGTTTTATTCTGGGTTGAAGCCAGAAGTCTCTGGCTCTCTGCAGTTTGAAGTCTTCGGGATGCTTGGTGGAGTATGATGGTAGTTTGGTAGATGCACAGAAAATTTTTCAGTGTCAGTTGGTCACTTAATGTTTTTTCCCTTGGTCTTACAAGATGGGAAGGAAACTGATAGGTGGCCCAGTAAGATGTAACAGGTATTCATAATAAACGTGTAAATGGTGTAGCTGGAGGCATGAAAGTTTTAAGTGAAAGTTTCTGGGTTTGAGGTGGAAGAGAGACAGACATCTGGAGTGTTTGTATACTTCAGACATAAAGCAGAAAGCTTATTTAGATGTCTGAGATGTCTGAACAATACAGTTCAGACTGCAGATGGAAGGAGAAGGGCATTCATTGTATGTGAGTGAAGTCATTCATTTTATAACAGGGATACAGTGAGACTCCTTTAATGGCCTGGCGCAAATAGACTATGGAGAGACTCTCCAAATGCAACATTTTAAATCACTTGGAGATGGTTTAACTTTAAATAAACAAACAAATAAAACTGTACTCAAAGCAAGAACTGAACCTTGTATGAACTTCAAAAGTGTTTACTTGGCTGTTTTCTCACTATGAATTGTAAAATTCATGGGTCAGCCCACAGAAGAAATTGTCTGAAACCTCATATGAGCCTGTCCCAGGCAACTTCTGCAGCCCACGCTGCTCCAATGGTGTGGTGTCAGACTCTGCTGTGCTCATAACAGATGTTGGGCTGCTCTCTGCTGCCCAGTTTTGCCAGTGTATCTGTATCAGCGCAGAGTGTGAAAAATTATGATTCCTTTGCTAGCATGGCTTTGTCAGCAAAGACTGCTTCAAGGGACGTGGCCTCTTCTGCCGTATAGTTGCATTTGTCATAGAAGACATGGTGTATCAGATATTTCTATATGCACAGAGAAACCTCCCTAAGGTGTGTGCTGCACCTCAGCTAAAGGTACTCTCAAACCAGCTGTCTGGCAGGTACGCTGGTTCCCTTGAGTGGGGCTTTTGCAGGTGGCTGAGGAGATGGTGGGGGTTTCCTTACCCAAAGCATTTGGAAAATGGTTGAGTTGATTGTTTTCTCTCACAATCCTGTAGGCACTAAGTTGAGGGGGACGAAGCAAGCCATGTATGATACACCCCGAAGGGAACAGGAGTTGTCTGATGCAGAGATTGCTCGGAAGCTGCAGGAGGAAGAGCTCCTGGTAAGTAGAGAGGATGCATTGGTCAACTCAAAGGAGCTAAGTTAATTTGTAAACCTTTTATATATGATGGTGACTTAAGACCTAAGGTCTTGCTACTGTGCATTCTGGTAATTACCTTTGTCTCCCATACACACCCATATGGAGTGACAGCTGGCATCCAGCCAGTAGAGCCCTATTTTCTGAAATAAACACCCAAAAATTAAATGATCGAAGCAGAATGATATTAAATGAACACTTCCAGGCAGGTAAAGATGGCCTGTAATCAGTGTGGTCAGCCCAGAAGTGAGGCAGGCCAGTGTCCATCTTTGAGAGGGCAGGAGGGTGGGCAATGCATTGTGGTGTGGCCTGGCAGATAGATGACGGCAAAACTCAGCTGAAAAACTGAAGTGACAGTTTGGTTTTGGGTTGCGAGGTAAGTATTGAGGTAGCTAAGTATATTTTGAGAGGTTGGTAGCGTATTTGTATGGGCACCTACTTGCCCTGCCCAGTATGTTAATGGCTATGAATAATTCAGAGGTGTTACTCTTTTGTCTCTGTTCCCCCCCCTTTTTTTTTTCCCCAGGCTAATGAAGCAGATCAGAAGGCAGCTCAAGTAGCCCAAGATGAGGTGAGCAAGAAGTCAAATGTCTGCGGTATTCCTTTACTTGTGGAAACTGCTAAACCCCACTTGTCCCCTCTGACCCTCTGGTCGTTCGTTTCCCTCCTTGTAGGGGAAGCTCAGGGCTCCAGTGGGGTTTGCTCCTGGCTGGTTGTCATGTATATGCACAGGCTGGCCAAGCAGGGAGTTGCGCTGCCTGTTGCGACCATGGCAGAGGAAGGAAGTTCATGGCTGTCTAAGAGCATCTCTTGGAACTGAGCCCCAAGGGAGACTATCAGAGATGCTGTGAGATGAACTCCCCCATTGAAGGAAAAGGGATAAAGGGCAGAAAGGCTCTGCAAACACAGTTCTAGCAAATCAGGGATCCGCCGGGCATGCTGCATGTAGTCAGTCTTAATTCTGCCCTGTCGCTTGATTTCTGATTACAGATGGGTGAAATCCTGGCTATGCACCCTTCCCATTCCGCAGCTGTCCATAGGAAAGGGTTTAAATAACTCAAACCCAAAGAGCAGTAAAACCATCTGACATGCTCTTTGTATTTTCCCTTCTAGGAAATTGCCCGACTCTTGATGGCCGAGGAGAAAAAGGCTTTCAAGAAAGGGAAGGAGAGAGAAAAGTCTTCCTTTGAAAAGAGGAGGCACGATCAAGACTGGAAGGTATGTCAAGCTTCAGGAGGTGCCACAAATGAAGTGCTATAACGTTATTCCTACTTCCAGGGGGAGGTGAGGGTGTGTGGTGAGAGCAAAAGGAATGATGCACTCTTGCATCCAAAGGGTCTTGCTGCCTGTTACTCAGCTGCTTCCCAAGCCTTTTGGAGCCACCTCCTTGGTTACATGCTCTTTGGCTTCAGCCTCAAGCAAGGTAGGCCTTGGGCTCTGGCCTTGGAGGTTGGCGCTGGATGTCACAGCACCTTGTGGTCTTCCTCAAGCACTGTCAGTCCTCCTGGCACAGAACCTTCCCTCTGCTGAAAACCTGACTGTAGCAATAAAAGCAGTAGTTGGTTCTGTTTTGTGCACCGCAGGTGGACAGCGCAGCTGCTCCAGTTGTCACTGCTTCATAATAAAATTGGCTCTATAATGAAAGTATTGAGTAATCAAGCCTAGGTTTTTGTATGAGTAATACTACCAGAGGCTTGGCTAGCTGGTGTGGAAGGTGATAGGAAACAGATTTCATGGTCTGCACTGGTAAGGTGCTAAAGGGGATGTTGTGTTAATCTTGGGGCCAGTTGGAGGTAGCTCTGTTTTCAGCCTCCTTACTCTGAGTGGTTGCAGGAGCACAGCTGTGTGCAGCTGGTCCCTCATGCTCAGCCCAGCCATGTGCACAGTCATTACACGCTGACTGCGTTCGACCCCAGCTTCGGGACAGGTCCCCCAGCGCTGTCTCGTATTTAGAGCAAAAATTGATTTTTGGCTCAGCAAGGCTGAGTTTCATTTGCTGGAAACTAGTTCTGATACTGTCGTTTGCATGTGTCTGGCTGTAGTTAGGTGTGTGTAGAAACTGAGCACAAAAGGACTGCACGGAGCTGTGGCAGCCTCAATGCACTGGCTGATGTCTTGCAAGGCATGCAGATGAGCTGTTTTCCCTTCTTCCCATCAGCATGATGCAAGCGAGTCCACACGCTCGAGGTCAAAAGAAGGGCCTGAAACTCAGCGACACAAAGGCGACAGGTCTTCAAGGTGAGCTTGAACTGGCTGGTAAAAATTGGGAAATGCAGTTGGGAAGTTGCTCAGAAGCTGAGTCCTAGGGAGGAGTTGTGGGGCGACCAGCCTGACCCACCCACAGAGGGCTTGGTAGAGAGCAGAGGTTTTAGCACTGAAGAGAGATGAAAAAGCTGTGTGCCCAGAGCTCGTGAGGTGTTTGGTGACATGCGTCACTTGCTGTGCTCGTGGCATTTGTCCGTATCTGTCTCCATCCCTGGCGCTGACAGAGATTGATGAGCTTGTGCAGTGACATTTGTTAAATGGGCAGAAAAACATTGAGAGGGTTAAAGAGCTTCTGGGGATGTGAAACCAAATGTCATCTCTAGGCAGGAAGGAGTAATCACGGTGCATTTGCACAGCTGCTCCCTTGGGTCCTTGCTCCCAGTTAAGCCCTGTACACTGCTCCCGCTGCTGCATGTGAACAACCCCGTGCAAGCAAGTACGTTGTGCTTTGGGGTACCTCATCCCAGAGCTGGTGGGAACGTGCTGTAGCCCAGTGCTGCTTCTGAATCACTTGGTACCCTGGCCTGGTGCTCCTCATGAGGGACTGAACCCTGGAAGTGACCCTGGTGGCTTTGATTACCAATCCAGCTATGAGCCTAGAAATTCTTGTTGAATTCGCAAAAGAAACAACAAATGAGGTATGCAGGTGGAGACTAAGAGAGATCTTATTAAAATACTCTGGGATTAAAACTGGGCAAGCATTAAACACTTTATAAATGTTGCTTTTTTGCAACATTGTGAGGTTTGCATCAAACTTCATAATGGAAATTATTTGTTTCCTGACAACTTGAAACCATTATTAAATGAAAGCAATCCATGAGAAGTAGTAAATACTCTGCATTTCTCACTGCAGAAACAGTAACGAGCTGTGCTTGGAGGAGCTGGTCTGCATGTGGAAAGTCTGGGCCAGAAAGCTTTCATCAAACTGAATGGGACAGACCAGGCCACTGAGATGTTGCTTTTGCCGTGCTGTTATGCCTTTGAGTTTTTTTCCCAACACTTCTTTTTCGCTGTGCTTGGCAGGTCACAGCCTCTCCTCGATGACTTTGAACACACTCGGTATTACACAAGCCAGCCCAGCTCCTTGCGCCAGATCCCCAAACATGAGCACTCTCCTAAAGGTAGGATCAAGCCCATGGTTGCCCCAAGCACTTGCGTTATTGTGGGCTGTTTTCCTCAAATAAGCAGCCTGCGGGCAGGATGTCTGAAAGAGATGCTGTAATAGAGAGGAGGAATGGATATTATTGCCCCAGCAGGCAGGTGATGCTGGTCAGTGTTCGAGTTGTACTTGCTGTGCATGTTGCAGGCTGAGAGACTAAAAAGCTGAATTGGTTTGCCTTGAGTTTGTCAAACTGCTCTCTGCACGTCCTCCGTGATCTCTTAATGATGAATGACTAAATCCAGGCAGCAAATGAAGGAGAAGTAACATGAAGGCAATGACATGATGGATTTTAGGTGACTCACTAGTATCAAACAATCCAATACAAGACAAAACCTTGCAGTATCACCTGTCTGGCGGGCAGATGGGATGATCAGACAGGAGCTTGTCCTGAGAACAGGCTTGTTTTGTTCTTGTAGCATCTCAGCACTGCTTTGTTGGCTTGTTTCCTGAAATCACTTGGCACAAGAGCAGTGTGGTTAGGGTCACCCCCCCAGTTTTTTAAATCTGAATGCCAATTGTCTGAGTTATCTGTCGAGTCTCTGGGAGTGGAAAGGGGCAGCCAGAGTTCGACTCGATCGCTCGGATTTCTTCCAGCTCCACTGATTGACTTAAATGTAGACAGTTTACTTCCCAAAATTTAAAGTTTGGGAAACTTTAAAAAGGAAACTTTTGTGTTCTGTCTTCATCAAACAAGCTGGAAAGTTGATGGCACTTTATAAGAGTCTGTAAGCCCAGTGTTCATTCCTTTTCCTTTAGTGAGACTGTGCAATGTGGCTGCAGTGCTGTTCACAGCCTAGAAGAAATGAGAATGTCTGCCTCTCTTGTGGACCTATCCTTCCTTTTGCTTGAGTAATATAACATACAGTTCCCATTTTGGCATTTGACTTTACCAGTACCCTGGAAGTCACGCAGACATCCAAGAGGGCAGGACAAGTAAAAGATGACTGCAGGTAGTATTTTCTTCACCAGGATCTATCCTTACAGAGTTTTTTCTTTTTGTTTTGCTTTCCAGGTTCCCGTAGGAAGCAGTAAATGGTGCTAGCCTTTGCTTTGGTACTGACTCTTCTGTAGCAAACATTACTGGAATTGCCAGGCAACTTTCTCGATTCCTTAACCCTATGGGAGGTACAGCCTCCACTCCCAGGATCTCCTCTTTAAGTGTCGTTATGTTAATAAGGAACACTTTTTGGTTTCAATTTCTTACTATATGTGATCACTTAAGCAGTGCAGTATAATCTAGCCGCCACTGAGCTGTGTGAATCAACTAGCTGACTTAACAGCTCCCTCTTATATTCTTTTGAGGCTTTCCTTTTATTTTTATGCTTCGGCTGGAGCTTTGACAAATAGAGCTGCATGTACAACAGGGAGGAAAATCTAAGATACGAGCTGGGTTGTGGCAATCCAGCAGAACATCAGAAGTACAAGTCCTTTCTGTATTAGGATGACTTAGCAAAGAGAGTTAAAGAGGAAACGTGTTTCTTCCTGTGCTGGATAAGACGTCTGAGCCAACCTGACAGTCACGCTAGCTTGCAGGAAGGAGAGAGGATCTTCATAACATACACCAGTGAAAGCCAGAACCTGGGACTGGTGAGGAAGAAATTGCCTATAGAACAAAATTTCTTAACTGCTGTATTTCTTCCTAGGGTTTCCAGCAATCTTGGGTGGAGCGTGTAACCAGGCATTTAGCTCCAGGATATAAGATAGAACAGTTAAGAGGAAAAACAGTTTCAACTGAAATTAGACCTTGTGTGCATGACTTAAGACATGCCAGGGAGTTGATGAAGCTGTGAGTTGTGGATTGGGAAGAATCATACGAACAGATTTAAATGCCTGAAGGGACCTCTGTGGTCACCTGGTTTGAGCGTCAGTGTGGTAGAAGCCAAGGAATTTCACTGAAGCCAAGTAGGAACTACTGTAACTCCTTGCTTAGCTGCTGATGCACTTGAGTACAGTAACTCGTGTCTGAACCTGCATGTGTCTTGGAAACATGGGACTGAAGGAGGGCCATATGGGTACTGAGCATTGAATCCAAAATCTACTATTACAGGCAACTTTGAGCTAGACACAGAGTGCCGAACAGTTCACACAATGTCTGTGCTCACTGCCTCCCCTCTACACTGCTCCATCCAGCATCCTAGGCAGACTCCAGTCAGGATAAAGCTATTGCTCTCTAGGGCATAGCAGGGTCTGCAAGTTTAAGTTGTCTGTATAGATGTGCCAGTCCAGTTCACGGCAGCAAGCCTGGCTGTGTTGCCCCTGCAGCCCAGCTTCCTTATTGCTCAGCACCGAGCCCGTCTCACCACGCTCTTTGTCTTCTGCTGGCAGCTGCAATTGTGCTGCTGGCTTTGCTGAGGAGGGGAGGCAGAGCCGTGGCTGTACTTGCCCTCGCCACCAATCTGCCTGGGAAAGGAGCCTGACAGCTCTGTAGAGCTTTGTGGAGAGCACGTGCTGGTGTGGAGGACTGATGGGAAATCAAAAGAGATCATGGCTCCCTGCTCTTGCACGAATTGACAATTCAAGTCCTAAGGCAGCTGTAAGGCTTTAAGCTTGGCTGTTGTCCTTGGTCAGGATAGTTAGAGACAAATCACAAGGAAGACAAGGCAACTCCTTCTTCACATAAGTTACAAGGGCATGTTTAATATCACAGCAGGAGCCCATGCCCTGCCTTGACCAACAACTCAAACTTCCATCTCCTACCCCCACTGGGATGCTGGCAGCAGTTCACTACCTGTGAAGAACCAGTTAACTCCCAGTAGACCTCTGCGCCAGGCCTACACTAGCCAAAAATGTTGTAACATAGGACTTTGTGCATCGGCAGCATCCCGTTAGCTGCGTACCCCTGCTTCCAGACCATGAGCTTGCTCACCTGCATGAACCCTTAAGTGACTTGCAAGCTCTTGCTTGCTTGCTGCTGCTTCTCAGGAAATATCCCAGCCAGCGGCTAGATTTTACTGTCCTTGCCTTGTTCCCTCTTCTAGTTCCATCTCTGTCCATTCAGAAGTGTTAACATTGTTTTAAAGGATCTGGAAAAAAAAAATACAGACCATATTTTTTTTCTTTTTTATTTGGTAACTTGGGCCAATGTGGCAACCTCATCTGCAATGACTTTATTTTGTAAGAATTTATTTTTATATTTCATGTAACAGTCAAAATTTCTACTGCTGAAAATGCCATTTTTTTTTTGTCTGTAGGTTTTTCCCCTCCATTGCCATCAGAGTATTTATTGTTGTGAAATGGATGCCTGGTGGGGTTTTATGAACTAATACTTTCTACAAACACCACAGTCCAGGCCCTGCTGCTTGTATCATCTGGTGCACTTGTGAAAACTGGATGGGGAAAAATCCTGCCAAATTGGAAAGTGGTTGTGCTTTGTATGCGCTGTGCATGGGGGAGAAATGGTGACCCTCTGCACAAGGCAAGGGGAAATCGCCAAATAGGAATTCAGCCCTCCCTGGGCCTCTGTAGCTGGCTGTGATGGGCTTTCTTGCACTGCAGTTGGCTGATGTAACTTCTGTCTTACTCTAATCAGAAAAGTCGTGAACGCCCTGAGCCCGCTGACATTTGAAGAACCTATTAATTCAGGAGGGATGCTTGGGAGTATCCAAGTTGTTGACTTCAGTGGGAGTGAGTGGAAATGATATGAGAGAAAACTCTAGTTGATTTTATTTGGAAGCTGGGTAAAGTCTGAAGAACACCTCAGTACCTACTCTGTGGAGCTGCAAGATCTCCTTAGTGGCTGCCTCGGGCCAGCCAAAGCTCTCCAGCCATGGCACCAAGAGGCAAGAGCCCAGGGGAAGGATCCCAGGAGCATCTGCTGCTTCCTTGGATGCCTTCAGGGAGTGCTGAATGCTTTATGGGCTGCTTTGCTCTATATCCTCCCTTAGTCCTTACCTTTTTATTCTTACTCCCTAGCTTTATTCGTTTGCTGTCCCTTGTGTTTCGCCTGTTTTATTTTTCCATAGCCCTTGTGCAAAGGGGGGCCCTGAGGTTATGTTAGAAGGGGCTGACACCTATCGAGAGAGACAGAAATGCTAGGAATGGTAGCTGAGGAAAGCATGTAGTAAATGAGGTATAAACAGAGCAATTGTTCATCTAATATACCTTGCGGGCCTCATGCAGTCAGCAGGTTAGAGACTTCCTGAGGCAAAGGCTGCAACTGGACTTGCATGTCTAGTAACCACTTTTGGCAGGAGATTCCATGGTCCCATTGAAGTCAGCAAGAGTTAAGATCATGGATGAACAAGGAGCCAATTCATCTTGGGGCTCAGCAGCCACGGTTCTGCTGAGAGTCAAGAAGATGCAGCTTGTGTAGGCGAGATGCAAAGTCAGCACCTTGCACGTGAGTCCCTGGAAAGAGGCACAATGAAGTTGATCTTTTAAAAAGAAACAATCAGAGCGATATTTCCTTTCTATGACAGAAAAATGTTTAAGTAACTTTTATTTTTTCCTTGTCTTCTCTTGCCAAGTTTCAGTAGCTTTGCCTATGGTTTTGCTCTGGATTCGATAGCATGTCGGAGCCTTTGCTGGGACCCCTGCCCAGGTCATTCAGGTCTCGCATCCCTTTCTGACTCTGTGCATTAACAAGGCAACAGGCACCACATGGAAAACTCATCACCGTGAAATCCTGGCACTTCCTAATCTCCACAGTAGGCACATCTCACCAGCAAGAGCTCTCGCCACCTCCTTACCTCCGTCCGAAGCACAGTGGTCTGCAGAAGAGAGGTCGGGCGAACCCGAGTGATCGTGCCTTACATGCAGGGATACTCGACGTCTTCAGCAGGCTGATCTGAGTCACCTTGCTATGAAACACTGTCTTAATGTGGACTGTACAGCTTCCTGCAGTGAGAAGCGGTTGTCACATGGATAGATCCAACAGGTTAATCTCATCTTTTTTAAAGAACTTCATGGTTTTTAACTTAGTGGGGGTGGGAAAATGCTGGCTGTTAGGGGATAGATGAAGTCTCATCATTGAATTTCTCCTCTTGGGGAGGGAGGACAGAAGTTACAAATGCTGCAGTCTGCTTCACTCTGTAAAAGGGATCTTGTATGTACAGTATTTTTATATCTCTGCATTCCCACCTGTCAGGATGTGAATCAGGATTAATAACATTCTCTTACTTAGGGGGGAAAAGAAGGATTTTTATTTTTACAGTGCTAGACCTTTGTGCATTTTTATTTTGTGCCAAACTACAGCCGCTGTTACATTCTAGTGTTTTCATTCAGTTTATTGCTATTGATCAGTGTGTATATTATATATTTTTATTATCAAGGTTTTTATTTTAATTCATATTAACCTGTATGCAAACTAACTGTGGATTGCTAATTTATATATAAAGGGGAGCACTTGGAGACAGTGTGAGGATTCCCCTACTTAGTTTACACTCTTGTAATCTAGTGCAGCCAGTCCATTCTGTGTAAGAAGCAATGAGTTTCGTGATCTCCTGAGTGTCTGTCACCCTGAGCAGATTGATCCTGCTGTTCCTCCAGGCGGCACTGACACTGCAAGGCTGTGAGAGATGCAGTAGGAGACGAAGCACAGCTCATAGCATGGACTGAGGGGTGACCGAGCTCTCTGCTGTCCTGCTCCTGGCAGTGATTCCAGGGAGGATGCTGCAGCAGGA